GACACAGAAAAACATAAATATTCATTGTGTTGGATTGTGTATGTGTGTGTGTGTGTGTGTGTGTGCGAGTGTCCCTCTGTAAACACCTTATGACCTCGTTAAGCCTCGTTAGCGTGTTGGTTTGTTTGCAGGTAATTACTCTGTTTGATCCTGTTGTTTGTCTGGTTGAATTAGAAACATGGCTGCCAGCTGAAGCCCCGCCCACTGAGTGTTGACATGTTTACTGTTGACCATCTAAAGCCCCGCCCACTGATTGTTGACATGTTTACTGTTGTCCATCTAAAGCCCCGCCCACTGATTGTTGACATGTTTACTGTTGTCCATCTAAAGCCCCGCCCACTGATTGTTGACATGTTTACTGTTGTCCATCTAAAGCCCCGCCCACTGCGTGTTGACATGTTTACTGTTGACCATCTGAAGCCCCGCCCACTGAGTGTTGACATGTTTACTGTTGTGGTTTACAGACATGAAGTACTGCAAGTTGCACATGTTACCTACACAGAAAACTTGTATTGATTAGTGACCAGAGGAGGAGGTCTGGTCTGTGGAGGTCTGGTCTGTGGAGGTCTGGTCTGAGGATGTCTGGTCTGTGGAGGTCTGGTCTGAGGAGGTCTGGTCTGTGGAGGTCTGGTCTGTGGAGGTCTGGTCTGTGGAGGTCTGGGTCAACTACATTGACGACTGTAGAAATGAAGGGGATTCCTCTATGATCATCTTCAGTCAGTGGGTCCATCAGAGCCCAGGCAGTCGTGATTGGTCAGTTCTCTGAGTCATCACCATCATCCAGATTTGTGATGTTTGAAGCTGAGGCTGTTCTTGAGTCTCAGACTGTTGACTTCACAGCTCAGTTCCTCGGCTCTCTGGAGACCAGGACATGACTTTGTGGAAAAAGTTTCTGTCAGGAACCAAAGTTGTTGTGAGCTCAGAAGGTCAGCTGACTGCAACGATCCAATCAAACTACTAATGAGTAAACAGGTGTGTTAACGAGCAGAGCGTGAAAACACACACACAAACGTCTACACACACACAGGATACATGCTGTCGATGCACACCAATCAATACTGGGCCGATCCATAGGTCATTGATCGATCGTAGTAATGGAGAGCATCAGTCTGAGAGGAGGAGGTGAACCTGAGGAGGCACACAAGTTTGGTCTCCTCAACAACTTCCTCCAGCTCCTCCCCATGAGCTGTTTACAGGGATGGTCAGCACTTTTGCCTCATAACAGGAAGGTCAGTGGTTTGAATCCTTGCCTGGTCATGTGGTTTATATGTCTGACGGTCACGTTTCTTCCTCTAGTGTGTTTTCTTTGTGTGTGTCAGCTGTGGATCAGTGGTAAGAGCAGTTGTTTCTCCATCAGGAGGCTGTGGGTTTAATTCTCCATTCAAATGTTTTAGTTCCAGATCATTGACGTCTGCTTCACTTCCTGATTTTGACTGTGTTTTATTCAGGTTAAACTTTGAGAGAGGGATTGAGGGGGGAGGAGGGGGGCAACAAAGGCGGAGACAGCGCCAGGGTTGCTGGGGGGGGGGA